GAAATTTTGTGACATATTTCTCTTATTCTATTAGTTAGAGATGTTTTATTCTATTTAAATTGACCTTTAATTAAAAATAAGATCCTGAATTAGTTTTTTTTTTTTTTTTTACAGTTTTAATTTGATGAGAAATGAAAATAAATCTAGATTGTTTCATTTTTTTTTACTAAAGCTGAAAAACTTTACACTTTCATGTTACAATGTTCATATCTATCAGATTATATTAATCTGTCTGTGTAATAATTATCAGTTTTTTTAATGTAATGCATTATAAATGCTTAAAAGGTGTTCTATAAATGAAATGATCATCCTCTAAACTTAGTGTTAAATATTTTAGTCATGGACGGATGAATTCCTGGTGTGGAACCCAGAGGATTTTGATGAAGTCAAACAAGTTTCCCTGCCCACAGCAAACGTCTGGGTTCCTGACATTCTCATCAATGAGTTGTAAGGGATGCCACTGCTCTGATTTCTCTATTTTAGCCTTTAATTTTAACCTTCCGGTGTATCAAACGGATCATACTGACATGGTTGCTGTTTGTTTTCTCCTACCGGAAGCGTCGATGTGGGGAAGTCTCCAGATATTCCTTATGTCTATGTTACACATGAGGGGCTGGTGCAAAATTACAAGCCCATCCAGGTTGTCACTGCCTGCACACTCAACATCTACAACTTCCCATTTGATGTCCAGAAGTGCAGCCTTACCTTCCAGAGCTGGCTCCATACCAGTAAGTACGCACTCACCTACATGGAACGAGTAAAAACTACACATACAGATCTGACTCTTTGCAAAGTCCTTCTAGTTTTGTTGCTTTTTTATGTTTAAAATTTTTAAAATAACTGTTAACATCAAAAGAACCCACCTTTTTATTTTAAAATTATAGTTTAATTTATTAAAACTATTTCCTATGGGGAAATACAATTGCACCTCAGACTTAATTACTGGTTGTTCCAATTCGGCACCAATAACTTCAATTCAAATACTTTTTATTTTTAAATCTGCTTTACATGATTTTTTTGGTTCTTTTGTGACCTTCAAGCTATTTTATTGATGTTCTCTTGAAATAATTTCGGAAGATCATCCAAGCCTTAGAATGTTCCCCATGTTCTCTCCACTTGCAAATGAATAATGGTCTGGTTCTGCTGGAGGTTTTTTCCTGTTAAAAGGGAGTTTTTCCTCTCCACTGTTGCTACAGGCATGCTTAGTGTGAGGGATTGCTGAAGAGTCAATGAGTCGATGCAATCAACTGGTTTTTCTTAGACAGAAAACTTGGCTGGATGATCTGGTGGACTGGAAAGTGCCTTGAGATGACGTGTGTTGTGAATTGGTGCTATAGAAATAAGCTGAATTGAATTGAATAATCTCACAAAATTTTCCCAGTCTAAAATACATCACTTTTTTCCCCATCTGTTCTTGATCCTTTTGCCTACTTCATGTCGCCATACAGGTGTTACATACAGGGTGTATCAAATGGAAGATTAGTTTCGGGAAAAGTCTCTCTAAATTCCACGTAAGTTATGATAGAATAAAGAGAGAAGTAACTCAGACAAGGTCGGGTTAGTTTGTACAGCTTTTTTTCCAATACAAAATTAAATCATTATTTCAAAGACGGCCTCTTGTTTTGAGTTATTAAGTTATTTTTGTCTGATATTAAACTTAGTTTGACTGTCTGATAAACGTTAGCATTACCAAATTTAAAAAGGGAGCATGTTTTTTTTTTTCCCATCACTCTATATACAGAAGCAACTCAACGAAATTAATATCCTCAAAAAATGTTAATGAAGTAATTTGTTAGAAAAGGGACAGCAACTGACAATGATGATGGGTCATTATTGGTATTATTCATTTATTTTTCATTATTCATTCATTATTATTATATATAATTCATTATTTATTATTCATTTTTTAAAGATTCTGGCTCACATGTCGTGTAAAAATTAAAGCCAAAAATTCATTCTGTCTGAAAATATGATTTAAAATTAATGAATAAATAAATGTTATTAATGAACTGTATATCTATGCATTGCACCTGGTTGAGGCTACAGTAGTTGCATTAAACACTGCATCAGTGCAGAGTGATGTGGATGAAACCAGTATAAAATTCTGCTGAAAAAAGCCCCGTAATTAATATATATATATGTAGATATATATATCTCTATATCTATCTATCTATATATATATGTATGTATATAGATATATATATGTTCTCGTTGCATTAAAAGTAATATTTATTTTCCAATAAGGTTTGTTTGTGAGATTAAAGTTATTTAGAAATAACTCTAAAGCAGGTATAGTTCCTAAGTTTTATTTATTATTTGTTATTTACCAATTTTAAATGTTTTTATTACCTGTAAGTAGGAAATTGTCAGAATTAGCAGGACTACAGACTTGAAAGCATCAGTCTATCATTAATCTTTATAGTTTGTCACTTAATTGACATAAGTTACTAAAGTTAATTTTTCTTTTCATTGAAATGCATCAATAGGTCTTATTTTTTAACATAAAATTTGCTTTTTTTTAATCAAAAATACATTAAGAATTAAAAAAAGAAAATAATCACAACTTTCCCCTCTAAAAAAATCTCCCATTTCTCTGAAGTTCTAAGCAGAAGTGTTGTTTTGTCTGTTCCCTCCATCCTTTCACTCCTGCTGTGATTTAAGCTCAGAGGTGAATGAAGGCCGACTTGTTGTCAGGCCTGCTTCACGCTGTTGTGTTTGATCTGTAGTCAATGACATCAACATCACCCTGATGAGAAGCCCAGAGAAGCTCAGGGACGACAAGAGCGTCTTCATGAACCAAGGAGAGTGGGAGCTGCTGCACATCCTGTCCAACTACAAAATCTTCAGCGTGGACAATGACGACTATTATGCAGAGATGAAGTTCCACGTGAGTGAAGGAGGAGAAAAACATACAGACTCAAACTCTTCAAACAACACTCTAATTTAAATATTATGTATAAAATAGGAAATCAAATTTAAATAATATTTTATTTTGTTAAAACTCCAGATGATTTAAAAACAGGTTATTTTATGTACATTAGGATTGATGTCTGCTTGCTTTTAAAGCTTCATTTGCCTTATTAAACAATATTATATTAGTTACTGAACACAAACACACCAATGCTAAACCAGGGGGTTATGTGTTTGAAAAGACCATGATATGACCATTGAAGCCTTATGGGTCCCTTGATTTTATGCCCTATCTGAATGATTTCAACCTGGGGTACGCATACCCCTAGTGGTCAGCGAGTGCATTGCAACGATTATATTTTATTACTTAGTAAAATAGGCTGGGGTCTGTTTTGTACGGAAGAGGATTAGGGCCACTGGAAAAAAAAAGTTTTATTTCAGATTAGTATGGGAAAAAAGTCAGAATTTTGACTTTAATCTCAGAATTCTGACTTTTTTCTTGGAATTCTTACTTTCTTTCATAATTGTGACTGAATTCTGACAATAAAAAAGTCAGAATTCTGAGAAAAAAGTCAGAATTCTACATTTTTTCTCAGAATTCTAAATTTATTAATGGAATTCTTACTTTAATCTGAGAATTCTGACTTTCTC